TCGTTTTTTATTTTGTTTATCATTTACAACTTGTGGTTGAAAAATCTTTTTCTAAAAATTCATTAACAATTAAGTTTTAATTTCCAAAGTTTAAAAAGAGGGTTCAAATTTTTTAATTACCAATTCACCCCCCTCTTGGTTAGCCACTGAGACATAAGCTTGGGTTTAACAACCTAATTCATTGTGAACGAATCTCAACAGATTTCACAAGTCCCTTGATCCACCACCAATACAATAGTATGCAGTCCATCCTTACCTTTTCCCCCAATATCATTCTCATCAGCATCCTCTATGTTTTGTTCCTCTTTTTCTTTCTTATCACTATTCATGTTATCTTCACTATCTTTGATGACCTTGTCCAACGGATCTTCCTTCCTAAGAGAGGTGTTCAAGAAAACCAATCTCTATGTCATTTCCATAAGCTATATATTCTTCCAAATATAAGATAGGTTCCTTAACATTTCAGATATTAAGACCTGCCTGTACAACCGGTTCACCATTAATTGGTTAAACCATAGTTTTGGAGATATTGTTATTCTTCTTGGGTTGCGGATGAGCAACAAAGCAATCATTAATCGAATGTCCGTGGATTTTACATTGAACACAAAAATCCAGAACCTTTTCAAACCTATCTCACAAGATTGTTATTAAAAGAATTATAAGATATCTAATTGGCACCTAAAACTTAGATATTTGATATCCTAGGAATATCTCAACTTTTGACCTTAAATGATATTTAGATTTGATTTTTTTTGGGTGTAAAGTAGATAATAAAAACACATCTAAAACTTGTCAATTTATAGGATAGTCTTTAGTTTTCTGATCTAGAAAAAACAAAACTTTGTAGCCCTGTCCATCGCTATAGTAGAGTATGTAGCTGTAGGAAGCTGTGTTTCCCAAATCCTATGGTTGAAGCAACATATTCTTGACTTTGAACTACATGTAGGTACAATCCCTATTATGTGTGATAATATTAATGTAATTTGTATTTCTAAAAATTTAATTCAACATTTCAACACTAAAGACATTGATATTAGACATCATTTAATTAGGGATCATGCATCCAAGGGTAATGTAGAACTACTGCATGTTGATACTAAAAACCAATTTGCAAATAATTTTACCAAAACCTTGAACTTTGATACTTTCAGCACACTTATGACTAGACTAGGTGTCATTGACATAAGGGCTTAGAAAAATTAGGGTAGTGTTATGTCATTTATTTATGTAAGTTTATATTTTTTATTATGAGTTTGTGTTTGTGTATGTTTGTGTTTGTTTGTGTTTGTTTCCATCATGATTGTTTATTTATGTTATAAATTTTTTTATGTATTCTTATAAATTTAAATCGTGGAATTATCCCTGATCATCATGCACAAAACTTAAATTTTTACTTAAATATATTGTACGATACACTTATCAAACTGTAAGATGCACGTATGATTCCACTGTTGGGCACTAATAATTATCACATTAACTATTATGGATGATCACTTTTTATTGATACTATGTATGAATGATTCATCTTACTGTACAATTACTTTAGTCAATAGTCATACCAATGACTCCTCAAGATGACGATTTTACACTATTCATAATGGGTGATCCTCGATCAAACTATATTATTTGAATTTAGATTGTATGTTCTTGAAGAGATATTTTGGATATATGGGATCAGATAATTTGATTTAGAGATCATATTGTATGAACGATCTGAGCTATAAAGGTGGATATTGAACTTCACTTTTTTCACACCTTCAAGCATACTGCCACTACCCGACTCGATATCACACATGTCATACCATATCCAATTATGGCAAGACTGACCCAATGAACTAGTTGGAGAAGTACTGAAACAAAACTTCCAATTTATATACTATACAAAGCCACTATTGAATGTATTATAAAACAAAAGACTACTAAATCTCAACATGATTTTTTTTATATATCATTCAGAACATATATAATATGAAATCTATATACAATAATGTTTGACAACAGAGAGCATAACAAAAATAAAAGTCAAGCCTGCAAAAATTAAAACTAACTAAAACATACCTACAGCACAGATCAAAACATGCTATCCCAACTACTCAGCTCGCTCCTTACCCTTCCCCAGGTCAGAAAATAAAATCAAAAGGAATGAGCAAACATGACTCAATAGGCTATCGTAGCCTAAAATAGAAATCAATAACAAAAAACAAAAGAATTGAAATCACACTACTAAATCATTGCAGCCTAGTTTATCCTTTGTGCACTTTCCTCACTTTCAACTTTTAAAATGAGGTCAAAAAATGATGAAATTCTTAATTTCTTATTCGGGTTATTGCTATCTGATCCCTTAAAGTGAGAATTTTGAAAAGACTTATAATAATAATAATAATAATAATAATGCACTAAAAATATTATTAAGTTAAATTGTTTTTTTGTGGAAATCATTATTAAGTTAAATTAATTTGTGAACATTTATCAGATATGATTACATCAAAATAATATATTTTAATAACTACGGGCTATTCTAAATGAACCACCAAGATAATAATATCAAGCTCAGAAGTATTAAAAACACCTGCACATGATCACAATCCACCACCCAATCACATGGGGCCTTAAAGAGCCATAAGACTTTCGAATCCTTCGCCAGTATTATGACCTTTAATAATTCATTCAAACCAAACAGTGCATTTCGTCACCATTATTGATGGAGATACTGACACGCTGCTATGCTGAACCATTACATATAAAAAGAGTTCTCCAGGGAAAGTTACTCGCCAAAGAATGCATTTATATCCTTTCCCCTCCGCAACTGTGCGACCTGATTCTGCTCGAAGAAGCTGCGAGATGTCGGCTTCTTCTGCTACCTTGTCCCGTTCTCTATCCAAGACCTGCTTCTCCTCCTCACCTCCCTCCAAGAAGAAGAAGAAGCCGATCCTGTCCTTTTAACGGAAAGTCATTAGCCTGTGTTTCTGCTTTCAAGGTAGGAGCAGAGGAAATCGCAGAACTTGCAAAAAATAAGGTAAAGAACTCATCAATTTTGAATTTTGGTTGGAAAAGATTGAGCTTTTCGAAGATTGAGCTTTTCTTCTTGAGTAGGTTTTGGTTGCATCTACTCTCTCTTATGCCATTGGGCAGCTCTCAAAGTCGTTTGCATCGGCTTTTAATGGAGATGGCATTGAGTTGAAGGCGGCTGTCAGGTCCGGAGGGATGCCATCGGTCCATTCTGCGGTAAATCTTCTTTCTCTTTTCCGTTTATTTGTTTTACTGAATGATTGGAACTTATTCGTTTATTTGAAATTCTATGAACTTTGATTTGCAGAGCGTTGTTGCTGCTGCCACAAGTCTTGCTTTAGATAGGTAAGCACTAATGAGCTGAAGTGTGTTGTTCATATTTGATTTTTTTATTATTGCGTCGAATATGTACTGCATATGAGCATCAGATAAAATTGATGAACATCAATTGCAGAAATTTTCGTTAGCCCGGAATGAGCTAATTTTATTATGTTCAAGCTGGCATTGTCTGCTTAGGGCATTTCCAACCGAACTGCAAATGCATGAATGGCGTCGCTCGCAAGCTCCAGCCGAACGGCAAAATTTCCGGTATTTGGTTGCTGGCGAACAGTGCGACGCCAATATGCGTTATTTTTCTGTCTCTACCGGATTTGCCGAAGAAACGCTTGAAGGAGAAAGATGGTTACCTGGGTGTCAAATGGAGTTTGATTGGAGATGAATCATGCCATTTTTTTGTTACACTGCATTTTGAAGTGAAAAATAAGATTTTCGGTTGGAGATGCCCTGAACGACGAGCAGAACAAGAACAATTATCTAGCTGAACACAGCCTATTTGCAAACGCTGAGCTTTATTTTGATACACTTTCAATAATTGGGTGCTCATAGTAAGCTTAATTCCATCAAGTTAGGGTCAGCTGTATTCCTAAGAAAGGAGATTTAAGTATTTTTCTGCATACTGGTTTGATTATTTCTATATGTTTAAATTTAGCTATATAGCTAGATTAATTTATACAGTGCAGGGGGTTTTCAGATCCAATTTTTGGCATGTCAGTGGTGTTTGCTGCGCTTGTAATGTATGATGCTCAGGTACATCTGTTAAACTTTTGAGCATCATTTATGTTTAGTTATAAAGACTATCCATTCTGATCAGTTTACTGCATTTTTTTTCTCTTGGAAGAAGCTTTTACGTTGACTAGTGTGCTAGTTACTTCTTGATGCTTGTTGGTTGCTTTGATTTATTTTTATGTATCCAACGATGAAGGAAATAACATGATATTTGTATCTATTAGGTGGTACTCAGAATATGCTCTTATGTTATTTTCTTAAGAATGGAGGCTCTGATATATCTTTCTGAAATCAAGTCATGCCCCGTTTCAGGTCGCAACAATAAAGTGACAAGTAAATCATGGTTTGCTTATAAAGATAATACTGATTGATGCTTATGAAAAGAAAGGGCAGAAGAATGGAGGTCTCATCATATTTTTAGGGAGCATTCTACAATTTGAAATGCAATTAGATGATCCTAACCATTGTCTGACCTAGCCATTTGGGGGCCTACAGTGATGACTTCTTATCACTTTTTTGAAGAACTAATGGAGTATAATACTGTTGTTGTTATTGTTGTTGTAATGGAGTATAATGTTTTGATGTTCTTGATACCACAAGTCCGCAAATTTGGCAGATATAAATTGTGGCAGTTAGATTGACTAGAATAATTTCGAGAACTTATGTGGAGAAAATTTAGAACAATTGAAAAGGTGAGGATAAGCCTCCATTTTTTGTCGAAATATTTCTCTTCAAGAGAAAATCCAAAGCCTAAAATGATCTGTGAATCAAATGCTTACAAATGTCAGAAAAAACTTTGAGAAATTTGGATATAAATATATTAATCATGCGAAAATTGATGAATCTTGTAATGATGGGGGTGAGATGATTGTGGAGAGATGATTCTAGCTAGATGGGATATTATGGCAAGCAACTATTGCATGCCCTTAAGGTAACACTGATTAGTGCACCTAATGAAAGTGAAGAGGGACTAGTTTCCCCTTGGTCACTTTCATGAACTGGGTTTGTTCAATTCTCTTTGAATCCATTTGGCCAATTCAATGATTGATCATGCTTACTTTAGTGTTTTTGGTATCTTTAGAATCATCAAGACATGACGGGTCAGTTTGACTTTGAATTTGCAAAAATCACTTCTTTTGGTCATCTAAATATTTTTTAAATTTTATTAATTTTTTCAGTGCTTTGCGATTTGAAATTTCTATCAAGATTCATGCTTGATGGATAGGAAATTCACATTTCTATTTGCTACTTCCTATCTTTAAACATTGAAATCAACAAGTATGAGCATTTTAGCGCTTTTTTAGTCTCCATCATAGGTTTAGCCAAATGCTCCATAAGTGCCTTCACAAAAGCCTTTTGGATAAGAAAATCAGGTCTTTGTTGTCCAAATTCCTAAACACCTTAAATCATTTAATTTCCTTATCTTAAACTTTGTTGTCATCAAATATTGCAATAGACTTTGTTATTAGTTTTTTGGAACAAAATGTCTAAACTCAACTAAGGAGTAGCTTTAGGAGTGGAACATGATGTGCCACAAAGTATCACAAAAGTGATGAAATAATATAGAGAAAGAGTGACCAAGATTTACATATAATCATGGCAAGAAGATGATCTGATCAACTAATCACATAAGCTATAAATAATAGTCAACATATGAGACTCACCTACTCTTCTCAAAATTTGAATATTACCATTCTTCCCACATTGTGGTGGTTGCAAGAGTTGCTTGTTCTTATGGAATTCTATTACTTTTCGAACAAACCTTGAAAAATAATCAAGGGAAAACTACGAGTTAGGAGGCTTTTTGTGTGATATTTCTTTTTAACCAAAAACACGTGAACAAATTATAGGTGATGTAAGGTACATTAGTACATAACTGTATGAATTGTTCTTAAGTTCCATTGTCACACAACTACCATTCTTTAAACTATAAGTAATAAGAGTCTTGTGAATTTAATTGAAAGTATAGATTATCTTGGATGGGTGTTTTAAATTTATAAATATTAGCGAGGATTCACGCTAATTGAGGAAATGAACTCTTTGGTAGTTTTTTGTCTCGAAGTGTGCCACTTTAATAATATATTCATATTGCTATGGATTTGCTCTCTGGTGTAGAAGCAAGTTTTTTGAAAATGTGTTATAGAAGCAAGTTGTAATGGAGTTTTTAGGCTTAAAATTTTGCAAATCAAGCAATTAGCACAAGGCATATCCTGTGTTTTAATATTTGAGTTATTGTTCACCACCTATGATGCACCGATACTATTTTTCAAAGATGCATGCATTGTTAGACACGTATCAGACATGACATGCATTAGACACGCATTCGATAGGTTTCTAACATGTCGAAGATGCGTCTGATTAAAAAAATATTGAAAGAAAATTGGACATGCTTGTCTTAAATATTTTATGAATTTTTTAAAATATGATTTCTTGTATTCAAAATTTTTAATTAAGAAATTAAAAACTAAAATTTTGATTTTCTCTACACAATGCCAAATTAATTGTTTGCACTTAATACCTCATTCCTTAAACTTTCTTATTTTCATTTCTCTATAGCGAGTCATGGCTAGGGTTTCATAACAACGCCCGATGCCATATCAATATTGATGTTGGACTTCATCACAACATCAATATTTTAAATCATCTCAATATTGGAGTCTGATGCTGCCTTGACATTGAAAAGTGATGCTAGCAATTTCTACGCCCACAATCACTTCCCTGCATCGTCTTGACATCTCATCTTTGTCCAACATCATCTCGACATCAATGAATAATATCATCTCGACATCGACGCCTGATGCTCATTACATAACATCGATGCTCGGCTTTTGACAACTCTTCAGGCCTTACACTCTGGCAATTCTAGACCGGCCTTGAGTGCTTGTCGGAATGGTTTGACAACACTTTCCCTCTTGAATGAATATTTCTTATTCATTTTTTTCTTAAAAGATGGGAACGTTCTATCACTAGTTTCTATTGCTTATCTCGAGCTCTCTCCTTCACCACGAAAGGTTCGAGGCTTATCATTTCCCCCAAGCACCAGTTTTGGCTGAGGGTTAGGATTGCAAGATTGTTTTGGTTTATCCTCATACTGCATTGGCAGTTTGCCTTAATCTATATTGTATACTGCTGTCTTGGATTATTATTGCCATTAAAAATATTAAAATTTGGAATAGAATATCCCTTCAGATATGACACCTAGTAATATTCTACTGGGTACAGACAACCTTTCCCCACATTCTCTGCCAATTCAGAAGCTATAATGGCTTTAATCTTTTCACTGATTAAGCCCTCTAGCTGTGCGGACGTTATAGGTTCGGAGGCACTAGCCATGTTTTATGGAGTACACTGGCGAGCTGGGTCATCGGTCCTATGCCAGCTCAGCTCTTCAATCAAGCTGCGAGCAACACTCCAGCAAATATGTCAAATCCCCAAATTCCCCAGGCTTCAGGAGTACATAGATGTGCCTGAAGGCCCCAATGAAATCGATGACCCAGCCAGCTAGCATAGTCCAAAAAATGTGGCGAGCGCCTTTGAACCTGCAACGGACGCACAACTAGAGGGCTTAATTAGTGAAAATATTAATATCATTATAGCTTTTGAACTGGCATATAATTTTTTGGGGAATGGTTGCCCGTACCTGACAGAATATGATTAGGTGCCGTATCCAAAGGGATATTATGTTCCAATGTTTAATATTTTAAATAACAACAACAATTATATATAGCAGTATACAATGTAGATAAAGACAAGTAGCTGATTCAATATGAGGATAAGCCAAAACAGGCTTACAATCCTAACTCTCAGCTAAATATGGTGCTTGGGAGAAATGATAAGCTTCGAATATTTTCTAGTGGAGAAGAGCACCTGAGATAAGCAATGGGAGTTGGTGATATAACATTCTCATATCTCAAGGAGAATATGAATAAAGTATATTCATTCAAGAGGGAAAGTGTAGTCAAACTATTCTGACTAGCACTCAAGGCTGGTCTAGAATTTCCAGAGTGTAAAAGGCCTAAAGTGTCTTAAGTATATTGGCAACCCGAATTATTGCCCGTATCATCAGGTAATCAGCCACCGAATTGAAGATTGCTACGCCATCAAAAATTGGCTGGAAAAGAAGTATAGAAGAGAAAAAATTCTCGTTGTTAGATAACTTGTTAATTCATTCCAGAAAAGAATCCATCCGGATGGTCACATCCTCTTCCGTACCCCAGCTTATAGAAGCAACAAAAAAAAGAACCGATGCAATAAGAGCAATGGGAGACTGTGGTCTCCAAGAAGTCAACTAAAATGCTAAAATAGCTAGAAGAAGTTCTGGGTGTTAAGTGGAAGTCTCCTACTGAGCTAATGTTAAACTTAAAATGGTTGCCTGCGCCACATGCATCCACCTCCAAACAACATTCTAATCAAGCTAGCTTATCTAAGTCTGGTAAGGCAAGATCAAAATCTTCTAAGAAGAAAGTCAAGCCAAAGAAGCCCAAGGAGAAGAAGATAACAACTCAAAGGGCTATCGATAGTTTGGGTGAATATCACTAGACGACGAGGCGGCCTATGAAGCTCACCAACTTCATGAAGGAGCTTAAAATAAATGAAAATGAAGAGGTATATGATGAATTGCTTCATACAGAGACATGCCTAGTCATTTCGACGACATCAAATATAGTGGCATGGGAGGAATATGCTAAAGAAGCGGTCACTGAGTCATATCTAATGGTGTCATGATGCGGACATCCAACCGTCCATGCTAATCCGAGGAGCTGAAGATCGACGACCGAGATCACTTTGTTTTATTTTCGTTTATTAAGTGTATTTTAATTTAGTTTTGCAATTTCTCTTTTTTACCCTCTTGTCTTATGTAAGCCCAAGGGGCGAATGTGTCTTTTAATTTCTCTTGAGGCCTATATATAGAGGCCAAATTTGTCCTTCCAATTAAGCAATAATCATTAATTTAAATTTGAAATTTAATTTCAGATTTAAATCAATTAATCACTTAATGCTCCCAATTAATGACAATTCAA